GCACTTGCCCTGCTGCACTTCCCGCTGTGTACAGCCCTGTTTTAAATCTTATCTGCTATTATAATAAGTGATGAAATATTTCAATTGTCCCATGTCATCTTCATTATTCAGTTTCTTTCAAGAAAATACAAAATGTGAATCAAGTTTTTTCGCAGATATTTTGGAAAAAGCTCATATTAAGAGACTCCCTTGGATTTTCGACGTTTCAAAGATGTTTTTATCTTGTCTTTCCAACATAACATTGATATTAACCGGTTCTGTTATATACCTGCGCTAGTAACATCGATCTAAAAACCTTTGTATATGGTGTTTTGTTCAGGTAATGAGCAGCCATAGACCGACAAACCATGATTAATTATTAATAGTAATTATTAATCAGTTAAAGACATAATTTAATGTACCATCCCACCAAACTGGTACTAAGATGTTAGAATCATCAGCATATTTGAAAAGAGCACTCTCATGATCAATGTCAATCTCCAGGGGCCGGTTGTATAAAAAAGTGATTAAAGTTAACTATAGTTTATAGTGGAAACGTCATCCAATATAAGAAACGCGTATTTGAGAATTAATCACCATTTAACCACAACATAGTAATTAAAAAAGTGATTAAGAGTTTTATACAACCGGCCCCAGATCCTATAAAAATATTAAAAAGATACGGGCTATTATAACGCTTCCTTGTGTTGTTTCTTTATTGACGTAATTTCAATCCCCATATAATCACTATATAAACGACTCTCTGTTGTCTGTCTTTAAGAAAGTTTAGGTACTACTAATTTATAATATATGGGTTTAGAGAGACGGTTTTCAATTTTTCAAAATGGAGTATAAAAAAGTTTCACGGAGTCGAAAGCCTTACTAAATTCCATTGAAGAGAGCCTAACGGCTTTGCAAATTTTGTTAACTAAATAGTTTAGTACCTTAATGTTGGATCGCCAACAGCGCTTTAGTAAAACTTCCTCGCTCTCTGTATGCATATTGAGTCGGCGGCAAGAAGCGTTCTACCTCGTACTTTACGTGGCTATGGTAAACGACCTTCTGAAAGGCTCTTGCGATCACCGGCGTTATATATTTATGCCTCGAAAATCACCATCCTCTACCGGGATATCAACCTTGGGAAGAGGGTTAATGTTTGCTTTTTTCCAGATTTTCGGCCAAGTATGGGTTGATAATAAAAGATTTCAAACCTTGGTCATAATTTCTGTAGAAATTTCCGAATGATCTTTCCAGATCCAATAAGGAATGCCATCAGGACCCGTCGCCGTCTTTTTCACTCTCTTCTGACTGTTTCATGCACATCTGCATTTCCGTGACTTCAGGAATGTTCAAACTGGCATCAACGATTAAAGTGTTGGTTCGATGTAATTATCATCTTGACATAGATCACTAAAAAACTTGCTAACTACTGCAAGCGATATTTTGTTTAATACAACTCTGGGAGATGAACTAGATCGCTGAGACTTATTATTAACATTTTCCCACCAATTTCCACTTCCCATCAGATCCTCATGCAAAGTTTCTTCTATTCTGACAGATAACGTCCGAGATTTTTTCCTCAGTAATACCTTAAATTTCTCAGTACTATAAGAAGAAATTCTTGATTTTGTCTATTTTTTAAATGTTACTGTCAAAATAAAGTAATTATTATTGTTAATGTCGTTCACAGTTGTACAGGGGGATTCAAATAGGAATCTAAGTTTAGTTATAAAACCCGGCTTTTTTCTGTCTTACGGTACGTATCTTTGTTCCATATTTCTGTAAAGGAAATACCAAGTTCGAATCGAATTAAAATTCGTCGGCGCAAAATTGCATTTTCTCACAGTTGGGACTAGAGTTCAAAACCATTGAAAATATATTGCATTTCGAGTTTAGACTAAAATTTATCAAGTTTTAAAAAGGCTAAACATAGGGGGTAGAATTGATCAACGTCGATCAACGTGATCACTTTTTAGATTTGTTTTGAAGCTGTTACGAGGCTTTATTTAGGTAGTGTAGTGAATCGTTACAACAATCTTAAATAACTATCAGTTCTTATTAAATGTTCAATACTGTTCGTTCCTTCGTGTTCACGTTCGTTTTCTTGTAGTGGTTTCCTTAAAGTTCACTTCAGCGTTTAAATCTTCGTTGTCTTTAGTGTGTCTTCTTTGTCCGTGCTATTTAGTTTTGAGTTTTCGTAGCTTTTAATCATTTAAGCTTTTCTTCGTCTACGTCCACTGACGAATTTGGGTTGTGCACGCCCTTTTATACCAACGGTTGAGGGGATCTTTGTACACATGATCTAGCAAGTGGTGTTATTTGTATCCAGCCAATCAACGTTGAGGTTTAAAAGTGTGGGTTGGCGTTGGTAACTCGTTCCAGCTCTCATATTCTGTTTATTTAAGGCGTTGTCGCACTGGTCGAGTCGGTTCGCTGTTCAATCGATCAATATTAAAATATGTTCACAACTTAAAATACTTATAGTAAAAACTTCAACCTATACCTATGTGAACCTTACTTTACTTACTAAACTAAATTTACTTACAATTTTATTGAACCAAGATTTTGATGACGTAATGTTATCATTACTCAACCGCGCGAAATATACCGAAGAATGATTGACAGAAATGCCCTAAGCATGCACATTTTCATGTCAGAGAAGAACCAGCCTTGGACTTTGAATTATGTAAACACAACAGCCCACCATTCAAGGTTTTCGTCTAACTTTGACAGTTTGACAAATTATTTATCTTGCCTAATGGACAGATAATTGACACTTTTACACAAGTCCGAAATGATATATACTTTATCTGCGTTTTACAGCAAAAATGCTCATTATTTTCCATTTGACGTAACTAGTATCTATAATTTCCTGTGGTGAAAATTTACTGAACTATTTTTATACTACTTAGATATACTTTCGTAACAAAGCTAATAAAAGTCCCATGCAAGAACGTGAGCGTAAATGGGGATGGGTAAATGGGGATTATCTGTTTATCTGATAGACACTCTATATATATAGTAGCTAAGGAACTTAAAGTTCAGAAATTACATTCGTACTTCCTCGTTTAGTGTGCTGCAGTATATACACATTTTTGATTTTAGAATTTGGATTTTTGATTTTAGAATTTGCCAACAACCACAAGAGAAACCGATGGAGAAAGTGGATGAACGAACAACTGGCATGTCTGAACAGGAGGTAATAATCCAAAACCATAAATAATTTGTTGTGATTCTTTACGATAAATAATGAACATATACAGAAAAAAATATTCAATTCTGATTAATTCACAGCAGTGCGATTATTCAGTTTGTAAATCCAACTCAGGCAACTAACAAAACGAGAATAGGGCCTGGAAACGAGGCAGGATATTGGAATGTAAACATTCGCTCTTTCGACGACTTGTTTTACTGTAACAATTTCAATTGAAAAATTGTACATGAAGAAAGGAAATTAAACACATGGAACACTTAACTGCTACTGCAACGAACTTTTGGAGCTAATTTTTTTAGCTTGAATAAAATTTCAGTCTTTTAGAAGCATTTTCATGTATATTTGACCATCATGCGATGCTTAGAAGTTGCCAAATTTAACCTCTGAAGTTGGTTATCGCGTTCGAACGTTTCCGCCGCCATACTGATGCCGTGTGACGTCATAAGATGAACGGAAAGGAAGATATGAAGGTCGTATTTGTAGTAGGTTATATGGGGTAAGCTGTAAAACATGGAATCTGGAATCTTGGAATCTTGGAATCCTGGAATCTTATCATGAAACCGAAAAATATGTTATTATCAAGATATTATTATTATACTAGGCTAAGCTTATGCAACATATTGTTCTGCATGCGATAATTTAATACTTGGTGAGTTAGCAGAAGCAGACCTTGCATGGTAATATATTCATCAGTATATACTATACGTTGCAGAATTTAATATCTCCATCTTGATGCCAATACATAATAATGTAAACGCTGCATGTGCGTGCATCTATTGTAAATAATATCATCGGTTTATGATGAGAGCTAAAATCAAGTGCGTATAGGCTGTAGCAAGATGAACAGGCGGGAGGCAACTAAAGAAACTATATATATATATATATATATATATATATATATATATATATATATATATATATATATATATATATATATATATATATATATATATATATAGGAATCATCAGGTGGTGAATAATTTCGAAATTGTAGGTTGCTTTTATGCTATCGAAAGAATGTGCGGAATGCGTGTAGGCGAAACAATGCTTAGGTGAAACAATGCATGCTTGGGTCATTAGGTTTTGTTAACGACCTTGTTTACTCGAAACCGGTTTTTGTGCCGACATTTGCCGAAAATTTCGCTTCTTTTATTGAGTAAATTGTCTTTGTTTATGTCTTTCAAAATGCAAAATTTTTCTTCCAAACATAAATTGCAGCGTTTTGATCCCCCTGTGTACGAAATAGCGTGTTTTAAAATTGACCATTTGATGGTATAATCCTGATTGTTTTCTTTTAATTTCCAAATATGTTTCGAAATTAAAAGAAAACAATCAGGATTATACCATCAAATGGTCAATTTTAAAACACGCTATTTCGTAC